CATCCTGCATGAAGATAAAAATTCACACACAAATGAAAATGGAAAAACTGCCAATGCCTGATTTCTGTTCCTTATTTTCCACTCGCAATCATGTACTTAGGTACCTTTTGAACCAAAGGGAAAAAAACAAAAAAACCTAACATTCAAAACTACCAATAACAGGAAGAAGAGAAAAAAAATTGAGAATGAAATGTTTCCTGCCGTAGTGGACTCTTAAGCACGTTCTCCACATATGCGGCGTGCTAGTTGGATATCTTTTGGCATAATTGGTACACGTTTGGCATGGATGGCACACAAGTTGGTATCTTGGATGGCACACAAGTTGGTATCTTCAAACAGGCCAACCAGATAGGCCTCAATTGCCTCCTGCAAAGCACCAATAGCTGTGCTCTGGAAGCGCAGATCTGTTTTGAAGTCCTGAGCAATTTCTCGAACCAGACACTGGAAAGGAAGTTTGCCAATCTGAAGTTCAATGGACTTCTGATAACGTCTCATTTCACGGAGGGCCACAATCCCAGGCCTGTAACGATGAGGTTTCTTCACCCCTCCAGTAGAGGGCGCACTCTTACGAGCGGCTTTTGTAGCCAGTTGTTTCCTGGGTGCTTTACCACCTGTGGATTTACGAGCCATGGTACTGGGACCTCCTTACCCCCTTCTCCTTTGGCTGGAGCTCGGCGAGCAAGAGGCGGCGCTGGCATTAGACAGCCACGGCAGCTCGGTGGCGGCTGCGAACACAATTGGATAATATAATTCTAAATGGGGAAAATAGGGGACAGAAATCTGAGATCTGGTACAAGACAAGGATGTCTATCACCCCTCCTTTTCAATATAGTTTTGAAATCATTATCTACAGCAATTAGGCTAGACAGAGTAATAAAAGGAACAAGAATAGGTAAAGAAGAAATTAAATTATCATTATTTGAAGATGACATGATACTTTATTTGGAAGACCAAAAACCTCCACCAAAAGCTACCAGAATGGGTGCACAAATTCATTAGCATAGCAGGTTACAAAGTCCATTCTCAAAAGTCAATAGCATTCCTCTGCACGATAACAAACACACTGAGAGGGAAATTAGAGAAACAATACCTTTTACCATAGCACTACAGAAAATGAAATACCTTGGAATTCACTTAACTAAAGAAGCCAAAGATCTTTTCATGGAAAATTACAGTACTCTGAAAAAAGAGATTGTAAAGGATTTCAGAAAATAGAAAGATATTCCCTGCTCCTTGATAGCAGAAACCAACATCTTCAAGATGACCATGCTCCCAAAATTGTTATACAGACTTAATGCAATCCCTATCAAACTACCACCAACATACATCTCAGACCTAGAGAAATCATTCCTAAAATTTATTAGGACCAGAAAACACGCAGAATAGCAAAGGCATTCCTGGCCAACAAAGACAAGGCAGGAGACATTACAATTCCTGACTTGAAATTATTCTACAAGGCTACTGTGATAAAATGAGCATGGTACTGGCAACAACATAGTCCTGAAGATCAATGGAATAGATTAGAAGATGCAGAGGCCTCTATGAGCACACTCAGTAACCTGATCTTCAACAAAGGGGCCAAACATGATTACTGGAAGAATGATAACCTCTTTAACAAATGGTACTGGAAAAACTGGCTTTCTACATGCCAAAAACTAATACTTGACCCAGGTCTATCACCATGCACTAAGCTAAAGTCAAAATGGATTAAAGATCTAAACATTAAAACAGAAAACTAAAACTCCTCAAAGAAAAAGTGGGAGGAACTCTTGAAGACATAGGGGTATGCATAGAGTTCATGAACAAAAATCAAATCGCACGGATAACACTTGAAATAATTAACAACTGGGACCAACTCTTATTGAGAAGTTTTTGCGCGTCAAAAGAAATTACAAACAAAGATAAAAGACAATCAACAAATTTCAAAAATATAACTTATAAGCACTCAGGCAGAGGTCTGCTCTCTAGAATTTATAAAGAACTAAAAAGCACTAGGGCCCCAAAATTTAAAGACCCAATCCAGAAATGGGCATCAGAAATGAAAACACACTTCTCAGAGAATGCAATTAAATTAGCGAATAAGTATATGAAAAAATGCTCCACATTACTAGCCATCTGTGAAATGCAAATTAAAACAACACTGAGATATTATCTTACTCCAGAAAAAATGGCTATCATAAAGAAGTCAACCAACAACAAATGTTGGAGAGGCTGTGGGGAAATGGAAACCCTTCTCCACTGCTGGTGGGAATGTAGACTGGTACATTCATTATGGAAATCAGTGTGGAAACTCCTTAAGAAGCTAGGACCAGAAATCCCATTCAATCCAGCTATCCCCCTACTGGGAATTTTCCCAGAGGAAATGCAAATGTCATATCATAGTGATACTTGTGTACCTATGTTTGTAGCAGCGCAATTTGTGATAGTCAAATCTTGGAAACAACCAAGATGACTGTTCTATGAGGAATGGGTGAAAAATCTGTGGTATTTTTATACAGTGGACTATCACTCAGATATAAAGAACGATGAACTTGAAGCATTTATATTTAAGAGGGTGCCACTTGAAAATATCCTCATAAGTCAAGTAAACCATACCCATATGTGTAAATATCATAAAGTCTCTCTAGTATAAGAACTGAAAAGAAGAAATACAAATAGAATGGTATAACACAATTAAAAGGAAAGCAAGAGGGGCTGGTGAGATGGCTCAGTGGTCTAAAGCACCTACTTAGAACAAGCTTAGCAAAAACAAAGGGACCGCGGTTCGATCCCCCAGCACCACATGCCAGCCAGGGCCGCCCCCTGGTGGGCTGAGCTGGCCACACACACACACACACACACACACACACACACACACATAAATAAATAAATAAATTTAAAAATAAAAAAAATAAAAGGAAAGCAAGAACTTGAGGATTAGACAATGAGGAGAGGGCAAGCAGAAAAGATGGGAAACAGGACAGGGACAAAGCCATACATTTATATTCACAAGATGGGCATGGCAATGATCTTGAGAAACATCAGCAGAGTTTTGAAACTAGCAGTTAATTGGTAGGATTCTCACCCTGACTAACTATCATTCTGATTCCTGTGAACCAAGCAACTGCACTGAAGATAGCAATGGGTAATAGAAGGGTCATGCTTTGAACACCTGTCACTGTGGTCTTCTAAATACGTACTTCTTGTCAAGATGTACCAATTTTTACTATACTTTCTCACAAGTAAAATATGTTTTGAAATGTGTAATAAATGAAAAAAAGACACAAGAAAAAGGAAAAAAAATTTCACAGGATTGTCCGGCTTCAATGATGTATATGGTTCAATTTCTAAATTTCTGTGTCAAAATATGTAATTGTTTATTTATATTCTTTAAATATTTTTTCATTTTTTAAATTTTTATCTCCATATACTGTAGGGACTTAATGTGTAACATATCAATATCTGATGAAAAATACCTGTTCCATGTTCTGTCTAAGATGTTTGATATTCAAATAGATAGTGAAATTAAACCCTACTGCATAAGATGTAGGGTAATAATAAGCTTCTCTACTGCAGGGTTAACAACCTAAGTTTGCAGATCAAAATTAAAGAAATAGAAGGGCTACAAGGTCTTCCAACATTTTATCCATAGCCTTTCAAGGTCAGTGAAGACTAAGTATATAGGAGAACCTATACTGTAACATCATGTAACTCAGCTGTGTGCCAAATGTTGTGATCAAGAAGATTATGGGGCCACAGAGCAAGGTGATCGATGATGTAGAGTGGGCCTAAGGAGAGTCACAGGGAGAGAAAACATTCTCTCAGGCTTTCACAGAGAGCACATTGGCCAAGCAATGGCCATGATTCATCCACATGGCTGACACTGACAAATGATCTACAACGTGCGGGGTTACAGGATAAATCCTGAGGGGACTTGACTGACCTTATCAGATACAAAAGTTACATTTCCTGTTATACAGGTCTTGCTTTATCTTCTTCTTAACCATCCACCAAAAAAGTATAAAAACGAGGTATATAAAGTAAAGCCATATTATTATGCTGAGCTGTGAAACGCTCAAGTCAAAAACTTCTGTGGATAACCCACTACCATTGTAGACTGCTGGACTGTTGGATTGTTTTGCTGAATTCACGGACCTATAGTATTTAGATGCGAGTGGAATACCCGTTTCTGACAGTATGAAGCAAAAAAAGGTGATTGAAAAGGACCATTTTGTATCTGTAAATGAAGAATACTTAGGATAGATATACAGCTACTTTCACTTAATTCAATGAGAAGATTTGTACTATTAGTGTTTGCACAGGATATCCTGTCTGCATCTTGTACTATGAATAACCATTAAGAAGATAATGTACAATGTATTAATTATTGAAACTGTATTATTAATCAGTTTTGAAACTGTCTCATTGATGTTTGTTTCTTAATAAAATATAATAAAATAAATCTGATAAAAACTCATCTATGACAATCCAACAGGCAACTTCATACTAAATGAACAAAAACTGAAAAGTTTCACTTTCAAATCCTGAACAAGAAAAGGATATACACTGTTGCCACTCCAATTCAGCATAGTTTTGGAGCTTACCATACTCCCAATATTGTTATATAGATTCAATGCAATCACAATCAAAGTAACATTAATATACCTCACAGATCTAGAGAAAATATTCCTAAAATTCCTTTGGAACCAGAAGAAATCCAGAATAGGAAAAGCAATCCTGGGCAACAAAGGAAAGGCAGGAGGAATCACAAATTGTACTGGAAACCTACTGTGATAAATTCAGCACCATATTAGCAAAAAAAGCAAAAACAAAAACAAAACCAGACTAGATGTTCATTGGAACTTAATAGAAGTAGAAACCACAACCACAAACATATTCATCCATCTTTTTTTTTTTGGCAGAGCTAGGGAATGAACTCAGGTCCTTTCTCTTGCTAGGAGGGTGCTTATTCCACTAAGCCATCTCCCCATATTCATCCATCTTATATTTGACAAAAGGGCTAAAATTGTTCAGAGGAAGAAAGATAGCCTCTTTAATAAATCATGTAGGAAAAACAGGCTTTCCTCATGTGAAAGACTAAAACTACACCCATGCCTATCACCATGCACGAAGGTCAAAATGGATCAAGGTTATAAATATTTAAAGAAAAACACTAAATCTACTAGAAGAAAATCAGGTCAAAATCTTGAAGATAGGAATAGGCAAGGAGCTAATGAACCAAAATCAAACTGCATGGGAAACATTTCAAAGAAACAAATGAGAGCTCATCTTATGAAAAATTTTTGGATATCTACAGAAATCACAGAGTAAAAGAAAACCAATGAATTGGGAAAATATTCCAGCCAACTGTCCCTGAAACAAAGGACTTCTATCTAGAACATATAAAGAATTTAAAAATATCAGGTCCCAAATTTCAAAGACCCAATACACAAATGGGCATCTGAGATGAATGCACAAATGGAAAATAAATATAAGAAAAATGTATTCAACATAATTAATCATTTGAGAATGCAAATTACAGCAACACTGAAATTCCATCACGCCCCAGAAAGAATGACTATTGTAAAGAAATCAATCAATATAAAATGCTGGGTGGGACTCTAGGGAAAAGGAACCATTCTCCACTCTTG